AGAATACACATTACGCAACAGGAAGACGTAAAATTAAAATGAGAAATAACCGTGATAAAAATAAGAGCCGACTAGGTTGGCGTTAAGAAACAGGCATAAATATGATAAACCTAATGAAATAAGTATCTAACGACCTTTCTACTTACAGTATTAGTGATTACAAACATGTCGGTACATAGCATACGACGCGCGGGGAAGTGGGGGCGAAATTAGAATTTGAGCTGACTTACTCTAACCTCTTAAGTACTGAGTTTCTGTGTGGATTATCCGTTTGCATTTTCTAAATATCACTTCTCTCACTTTTATATCCATAACACATAATACAACATAAATTTTCTCTGAAAGAAAAAATTGTCTAAACCCTTCCTCGGATTTATTTACATTGGGTAAGACGAGAAAATATTACTGCTCTCACTTTCGTATATACACATAAATAATACAACTTCAATTATCTTTGAAAGAAAAAATTGTATATAATCATATCTATAACAAATAAATAATAGGTACAATATCAATTGTTGTCTCTGAAAGAAAAAAATGTCTCTAACGTAGCATCGTAACCCTTCCTCTGATTTATTTACATTTGATAACACGCGTACCTATTAGTCTGATAGCGGTAAAAGAGAATCCATTATCCCATTTCGTCCCCGGAGTATAGCAAAAAGGGACTATGTGCTGGTACATAATGCTGGGCCTGGCGTCAAATATGTAAGACATTACTACGAGATATTTGTATGTCGACTGGCCAGCGTGTCGGTAGTGGCGAATCCTCGTTACACTGGAAGACGCCCACGTTCAGCCGTGAACTACAGGCTGATAAAGAATAATACTCTTTGATACATGAATACATATACAAATACATTCTGCTTTTATAAGCAAAAAGACATGCCCACATTTTTTTTAAATCACGTTACATGCAACAATTTAATTAAGCCATTACCTTTCATAGTTGAAGATTTATTTTTAATAATACAAAAAGTATTATTATACAAAAAGTAGTGTTAATAATGCCTTATGCAATTTTTTAAAATGCTTAATGAAATAAAAAGACATTATTATTTTTATTTTAATAATGTTAGACGATGCACTTTTTATAAATTGTTACTAGAATCAGTACGTAGCGTAGCGTGCTTTAGACGGGCCCTGTATCAAAATTTGTTGAGAGCCCCAAATGAAAGGCCCAAAACCGCTCGCATGTGTTAAAATAATTATATATTGATTATAAGTTAATAATGACAATTAATACTGCTAGGAACTAAGCTAGCCAAACAATTAAAATATACACTTTTCTTGTCTTATTCGGCGAATTTAATAGGTCGGGGAAAAAGTTTCTTGGTATAAAAAAAATTTCCAAAGTTTTATAACATTTAATTATAACATAATATATATTTGCCATTTTGTTCGATAGCTTGTTGCCATCTTGTAGGTGGATGAAATAATCCCGTTGCTGTAGAAATTTTGGGATTTTAGATCAAAAAATAACAGTTAAGTAAAATAAGTAAGTAGTTTGACAATCCTCTCTTGATGTTAACTTAACACTACCCAAAGAATTCTGACGAGACCGAAACAGGTGAAAATCTGAGGGTGCAAGATCAAGCTCTCTCAAAGTTTGCTGAGTGGCTAAAGATCTGTGTGTTCTGGCATTATCATGATGAAAGACCACTCTTTTTCTGTTGGTCGATTCCAGCCCTTTTCCTCAATTTTTTGTTTGAGTCTTACTAGTTATCAGCAGTAGAGATCCGAAGCGATGTTTTCGCCCAGATGTAAAAGCTCATAATGAACGATGCTCTTCTAATCCCACCTTAAACACAGCATCACCTTATTGCGTGTTAATCCGGGTTTCGCTACAGTCTGTGGACTTCACTACCCTTTGACCATGATCTTTTTCGCACGATCTTGTTGTAGGTGATCCACTCTCATCACCAGTGATTAATCTTTGCAAAAATGGTTCAGTTTCATTACGTTGCAATAGAGAATCGCAAATGAGCACACGATTCATTGTCTAATTGCTCAGTCTATTCAAAACATTACTTAGTAAAATGTTAGCTTTCTTTGTCTTTATTTTCAAGCTGTAGAGCTTTAGAAACAGGATAAAAGATTTCAAATAGTAAATAAAAAAGGTGACACAAGCAGTATAAAATTGTAGCTCTTTAATATGCATTTCCAGGTATCCACCCTCGGGTGGATTTTTTAGGGTGGATAAACGGAATAACCCAATTTTTTTTAATTATCGAAAAAAAATTAACACTTCAGTAACACATTTCGTTGCATCGTTTAAAATTAAATTTATTGCGTGTGCCGCACGAAGAACATAATCGGCATTGGGGTCATGCTCTTTTATAAGGGTTTGTAATAAATATGTATATACAACCGAAATGACATTTGCTCCATCGTAACCCTGACTTCTAAATTTGGACAAATCAATTCTATATTCTTTCATGGTATTTAAAGTTACAGTTTTAAGTCCTGCACTACAATTGGAAACTTTTATAAAAAAAGAACTCACAGATTATTTCTTGAGGTACATTATCATAATTTTCTGTTAACGAGATGTATCGAAAAACTACCGAAAATTGGTCAATTTTTAGCAGGCCTTCTTTAGGCACGTTGGCCACTATTTGATGATATGATTTATTTCTCGGGAAGTACGGCCTAAGAGTTTAAGTGAGATTGTGAACAACATTTTACGAATGTTTGCTTACACACGCTCAGGGCCTCTCTAACCCGGGGGCCTCGTATCATTGATATGGCTGACACGGCGGTAGCTACGCCCCTGACACTCAATCCAGTTTCAGAAGAAATGCTGATATTACTATATTATTACGATAAAACCTCCGACTATTTGAGTAAATAAACTAAGGATAAAACTGTCCATTTTCAGGTACAGGAAAACTAACACATTTCAGTAAGCTATGAATAGTCCTTGCGAAATGACACAAGACCTCCTTACGTTAGAAGAAATCTAAAAATGTTCCGCGAATTAATCATAGTTGTGACTGCGGTCGCGTAGACGATTTTTTATCCACTTTCGTTGTTTATCCACTGCTACTAGATGGCGCTCTAAGCACTCTTTCAGTACGACAGGCATGCAACATAATATGCCGTGTAGTGGTCTTATCGATGTTGATGCCGTCGGCAGATCGTAAAATCAGTCCGGTCTTTTTTTTAATAGGATAGGGTGACAAACGAGCACACAGTCCACCTGATGGTAAATGGTTGTTGTGGCCCATTGACATCTACATCTGTATTCGATTACGAATCAAAATGCAGATGCGTTGTCACCCGTGAGGACTACGATGGAATGACTCGCTTCCAGTAAAAAGGATATCCGGTCCTCCGGTTCTATACACCCACTACACGAAACACAGCAGAATTAAGCTACTATTTTACGCCGGTATTCTGTGAGAGCGTGGTCCTTCCCCGGTTGAGCCGACTCATTCGTGCTACAACTATACTACTAATATAACTGCAGCATGGCTCTACCAATACATAACGGCATCATATAACGGCAGATTATACTATGGCGAATTCCATGATATGTTAGGTGTTGGGGACTACATAAAGATGTACCAAAGGGTTTAGTGGTCGTGAACGCGGTTACTGATTATGTCTGAGATCTAGTTCGAATCCCGGGTCTGGCAAATTAATAACAGTCGGTTGTGAGATAATGAAAGCGGTGCTTCACCCCCGTGCCTTAAAAAACACGTAATGCCGGTGGTCCTGCGCCTGAACTCTCTCCGTTCGTGTCAGAATGTTATCCCATCAGGCTTTGAAGGTATGAGAATAGAGAATATAGCTATATGATATGTGATATATGAGGCAATGCATGGAAGAATCCTATGTTCTGCAATAGACTTTTGATGGGTAGTAAATAATAAAAAAATGGTAGCCACAAGTCAAATACTTGCATGCATTCACTTTTTTTTTCTTTTTTTTCTGGAAAGAGGCCATCAGTCTTACTCTTCAGGGGTAACAAGTATTCTTCATTTTGATCGTCAGTTGAGGATAGATTTAAATGTCTTTGGGCCACACCAACCACTTACCATCAGTTGAACTGTATATCCGTTTGTCACCCTTATTCTATAAAAAAGCGTGTAATGACTAATATTGTAAAATTGATACTACATCCCATCTTAGTCCTCAAAGGTGACCAGAAATCTATATCCTCCTTTGTTTGAAGTTGGCTCCAGGTCTCCATGGACTGCGGGAGCTACTTACCATCAGGTTGACTGTAAGTTTATTTGTCATTTCAGATTTATCGTAAATCATTTCACAAACACTAATACCTGCCACCCAGAGGGGTAGGCAGAGACTACAGACTTCCGTTTGGCACGATCCTGACACACTTCTCTGGCGTCCTCCACAGCCATATACTTACGCATACATGCTCTTCGCTTAAGGATACACTTAATTTGGCCCATTTTCATATATTTGGTCGATAAACTTTCGCCTAGAACGTCCCTTTCCGACTCTTCTGTTCACTTCTGCAACATAAATTTGCTTTGTCACTATTTCCTCATTCATTCTTTCCACATGACCAAACCACCGAAGCATTCCTTTCTTAATCCTGGTCACAACATCATTTTGCAAACCACACTCTCCTTTTATCTTACACAATTTCTCACCCTGTCACTCAGATTCATTTCGGATTTATAAAAGAAAAAACTAATAAACAGAAATATATATGTACATGTGATTCCAATCCACAATAAATATAAAATACCATTTACCAAAGTAAAGTTTACTTATAATAATAATAGAATAATTCTCTTTAATTTCAAATTATTAATATTAATTTTTAGGCGTAGTTTTATTTAAAAAAAATCTTAAAGTAGCATTTATGTTCATGCCTATTACGTACGTAATACGTTGTTTTTACTTTTTTCACAACGTCAAATATTATTATGGCTTACGATTATGACACATTAGAAATGTCATTCTAAAACTTTCGGCTAAATCTAAGAATTTTTTTAAATAATTTACATTTACAAAGTTTATTTATGGTTAAGAAATATGAGACCGACGGCACTCAGACAAGCAATATCAAGGCGGACGTTATCGTGCTGGGGTGCAGCCTGCCCGGTATTGTAGCAGCCCACAAGTTGAAGCAAAAGTTTGGGGACACCATGGATGTCGTCATTATAGATCTCGCCGGCACTAATAAGGGCATGCCGAAGTTTAACGCAGTATCTTTCAGCAAAGATGAAGACAACACTACCGAGGAGTGTACAGTTAAATCAACTCATCAGTTTTTGGAACATTTTTCTCGACGCTACCTCGTAATGTATGCGAAGGAATTCAATATTACGATCCCAGATGAAATTTTAACACCAGAGAGTATTCCGTCACCGCTAAACAAGCTTTTTGAGTATACAAATGGAAAAACCGTTCAATGCACGAATAACTTCCACGATTTCGATTATTTGGGCGTCTTTGAAAAATTCGAACTGAGCCAATATCAGAGACTGATTGATGAGAGTATGAAGAATATATTCCACGTCACGAAACCAGTAACGGAATCTGAACGACGGAAGCTCCTGTACTATGATCAGACGACTATGGAGAAACACATCTGCGGCGCTCTGCTCTTTTCAACGTCACGGGAAATTATGAGAACCGTGGTTAGATTAGTATGCGGAGCCTCCCCAGACACCGTATCGGTTCTGTTCTATCTTCATCAGTGTTACAGAAACATCAGTTGCAAAAACTACGTGGACGGAAACAACACGAAATTTCGAGAGAAACTTCTAGGCTATTGCTGGAAACGCCTTGCTTATAAATTGCAACAGAGCGTGGCTGGTATCACGCTAAAAGCGAAAGCAATAAAGAAGATACGGACCTATTCAGATGAGCAGGTTATTGTGGAGACGATGAAAGGGGAAAATAATTATGTTTGTAACTTCCTTGCGATGGCCGTGAGACCTGACGAACTCACCAACATCAACGTGGAGCCTACGTTGTTGCCGGAAAGAGAAGCTGAGATTGCGAGGTTTATGCTACCTGGTCGAGTTAAAAAGTTCATGATTCAATACGAAACTGACTTTTGGAGGGATGACGGTTATAGCGGTGATATTCTAAGCATTAGAGGGCCAATCGTTTGGGCTATGGAACGTCCTGGATTGTCTGCGACGGGGAGCAAGCGGCGATACTCGTCTTTAGTAGGTTACCTAAAGGCCAAAATGTGCGATGGTGACAAGCAAGATTCAAAAGAAGAAGTTATAGAACAGCTAGTGAAACTATTTGGGGAAAGCGCAGCAAATCCAGTTAACTACAAAGAGAGTGACGTCGAAGACGTATTTATTCCAAGATGTGGCGATTACGTTGCCTTGAGGAAATGGACGAAGGAGCAGACTCCCGGATTACTAGAATGGGGAGCTTTGGATATATACCGCGAAGGAGATATCACAGGTGCGATAGAAGCAGGTCATACAGCATATCTCCATGTTTCAAGCTGTCTACGTCCTCAAGCGCAGACTTTTGAAGATGTTAGTGCAGCTGAGATCCCTATAAGCGTTCACGGCAACTTCTGTAATAGAGTATTGGCAAACATAAACATTATAAGTAGTATGTCCCTCGTGGCATATACTACTGCTGTATACGTAGGGATACGCCTTGCAAAATCCTATCTCGGAAAACAATAGACACGCCCGCAAAGAAATTCATCTAAAAAGTGTCAGGGAGATATGACTTTTACATTTTGTACAAAATAAAATTAAAATCCAACAAGTCATTTTTCATTCGTCGTTTCCAGTAAAAAGGGTCTCTGGTTCTCTACACTCACATACGAAACACAGCAGCATTATGCTGCTATTTTACTCTGGTTTTCGTATATTTAATCGTTTTTTGATTTTTGGCCTGTAATTTAATGCAAAAGTTTCGTAAAATGACAAAATGTATGCCTTGTTGGTAATCCTAAATAAAATAATCTTTGCGGAACCCAACATTACTAAATGTTTTAATACGTACTTGGTTAATATTTTTCAATTATCTTGCCTCCTGGTGGAATGGTTTCGCTCTTTTCCAAACACAAGCTATGTTGGCAAGACGAGATAAACACCTATCATATACCGAGAGATATCATCAATACATTTAACATGTTGATAAGTAAGCTGTTGTTGTATTTATTTTTAGTAAGTAAAAGGTTTTAAGAGATAGAGCCACGCTGCTTAAGGCTGCAGCGCGAATGGGTCGGTCAACCGTGGAAAGTTCACTTTATGTATTCTACCGCATAATGATTTCTTAAATTTACGCGAACATTACACATTGAATAAAACTAAATTTACGAATTTTATCGCGTTTATTTCACTACTTTTACTTATTTTTAATTCCCGACGTTTCGGGTGCTTTTCAGCAACCATGGTCACGGGGGGACTGAGATGTTTGACGTCCCAATGTCATAGTTAGTCCGGCTACCTTCAGTTTTTGAATATTAATTTTTGGTCCGATTTACGCAAAACGAGCTTATGAAGTCTTGCAGTGGTATGCTTAGGTTTGGGTTTAATTTTGTTAATTATAGGATCCCAAGCAGGTGGCAGCACCCATCCATCTTCTCTATTGAAATTTGGATGTTTTTTAATTTCAATAGCCTCGCGTATCATCCTTGCTAGGAATCGGTGTTCTTTTGCGAGAATTTGTGGTTTATCAAAACGAATGTAATGATGGGGACGATCTTGAACATGTTCGCAGACTGCAGACTTCCCGGAGCGTCGGTGCTTCACGTCAGCTATATAGCGAATTCACGTCGAGATTTAATTTTTTTTTTTTAATTTTTCGGAGTGTTTCTTTATTAACACACAGTAACACGCTTAAAGCAACTAGCGATTTAATAAAGAAACACTCCGAAAAATTAAATCTCGACGTGAATTCGCTAATACCATCATGTACCAAACCACCGAGGTTGTATGGGTTACCAAAGATACGCAAACCAAACGCTCCACTACGTCCGATAGTGAGCCAGATCGATTCACCAACTTATAAGCTGGCACAACACTTGGCAAAAGTACTGTCACCACTGAGAGGACATACCAGAGCACACACAAAGGATTCATACCATTTTGTTAGTGAGATAAAAGACCTACATCTCGCTGACAATGAAAGTATGGTCAGTTTTGATGTTAAGTCACTATTCACATGCCTACCTATTGAAGACTGCATATCAATTGTAACTAGGAAGCTAGAATATAATAACATGCCTGCTGAATATGCAGTATTACTCAAACACTGCCTCACATCTGGCTATCTATTGTGGAAGGAAGAGTTCTACAAGCAAGTAGATGGTGTGACGATGGGCTCACCTGTATCTCCCATAGTCGCTGACATATTCATGGAGAACTTCGAGGAGAAAGCCCTTCTTACTGCTCCTGTAAATCCAAGATTCTACAAGCGGTACGTAGACGACACTTTAACAATTTTACCATCTGACAAAGTAACTGCATTTTTAAACCACCTTAACTCTATAAACTCTAAAATACAATTCACAATGGAGTTAGAGGCAAATAATTCTTTAGCTTTCTTAGATGTTTTAGTCATTCGAAATCCTAATAACACAATTGGTCATACTGTGTATAGAAAAAAGACCCATACCAACCGATATTTAAATGGTGAAATCTCACCATCATCCTTCACAGTTAGCTACCGTGGGTAAATCTTTGTTTCAGAGAGCACGAGGGATCTGTGACAGAAAACATCTGGCCGCCGAACTTCAGCACGTCAAGCAAGTATTGCAAGACAACAAGCTTCGGGTCCCGCGCCTACGTCACAGTGACCGAGTGAAGCCGGCCACAGTCGAGCGTGTACCTGCTGTACTACCATATGTCAGAGGAGTCACAGACAAGGTTGGCTACATCTTGAAGCGAGCTTCTATTAAAACATACTACAAGCCGCCGAAGAAGATTAGTCAATTTTTACCATCCGTCAAGTGTAATATCCCTCTACAAGATGCAGGAGTGTACAAGTTAGATTGTGAATGTGGTCTCTCTTACATAGGTCAAACAAAAAAGATCCATAAAAACCCGCGTGAAAGAACATATAGCTGACGTGAAGCACCGACGCTCCGGGAAGTCTGCAGTCTGCGAACATGTTCAAGATCGTCCCCACCATTACATTCGTTTTGATAAACCACAAATTCTCGCAAAAGAACACCGATTCCTACCAAGGATGATACGCGAGGCTATTGAAATTAAAAAACATCCAAATTTCAATAGAGAAGATGGATGGGTGCTGCCACCTACTTGGGATCCTATAATTAACAAAATTAAACCCAAACCTAAGCATAACACTGCAAGACTTCATGATACTATAAGCTCGTTTTGCGTAAATCGGACCAAAAATTAATATTCAAAAACTGAAGGTAGCCGGACTAACTATGACATTGGGACGTCAAACATCTCAGTCCCCCCCCCTGAACCATGGTTGCTGTAAAGCACCCGAAAAGTCGGGAATTAAAAATAAGTAAAAGTAGTGAAATAAACGCGTTAAATCCGTAAATTTAGTTTTATTCAATATTCTACCGCATCTACCACGGGGATTGCACAGAGGAATTGTTCAGACTAATTCCAGCCGCTAATTATCATTCCAAATCGCGACAAATTTCGCGATTTCATCCATGGCATCTGTATAATTGGCGGTCCACCACTGTGTGCTTTACCAGAAGTTTTATTCCTAGTACAACTGCCGTGTGAAATCGACCACCACCATCAATTTTACCGGCCCAATCAATGATTTCAAAAGGAAGGATAACTTTTTCATACAAGAAAAAGTAGCGCATCTGTCATAATACAAACGCCATATCAAAACACGACGTAAACAGAGTCGGTTATTGTACCATTATTTCATAGTTTGTAGTACATAGTATCGTAATAATACTAATACTATAATTTAATTTTTAATTTAAAGAATACCGTAATTTTACTTAAGGGTCGACTTGTATTATTATTGGGTCCTTTTACATTTTAAAACTAACCCTACGATATCAAGAATTTCTGTATTGTACATGAGCACCACGTTTTTTTAATAAAATTAGCATTAGCTCCCTTTCTGATCAATCGATGCCGGATCGATGCATTTATGTTGCATCTTTGATACAACTATAATGACTACCACGATAAAAACTCTATGATCTGGAAGCAATCGGTTTGAAATGAGAATTTTAAAATTTTTTATAAATCAGATTTTCAGATTCAATTAAGCAGATATGGTTTCTTTTGTACTCTTTTCGTTTTACCTTTATTGAATTTAAAATATATTAAGTACCAATATTCAAAATGAAATTACACTAAGTTCTTTAGACAGAAATTAAACAGAAATAAAAATAAAACCGTTATCCCGGCACATGAGAAAAAAGAAACATGAAACTTCAAATAATTTATTTAAAATGGTATAATTTTATTTTCCATGTACAATATTTTTGAAGGTCTGAATCCAACCCTGGCCTAATCTTGGTAACGTAGCTAAACTAACTGTAAAATAAAACTTTAAAAATGCGTTTTTGTAACAATTTAAGTGTAACAAAATTAATATAAGGTTATTTACCGATGATATGATATCCCATGTTTTTTTTTTAAATCCTTGTGTCGTAATTTTTGCATTGTTTTACCACGCAACTAGACATATTTGTGACAGGCAAATCTGTCCAGCGCGCGCACTACTGTCGACCGATTCGCGTTGGCCCTAAACTGTAATTTTAGGGCCAACGCACTTTTTTGGCCGGCAACGCACTTACCATTCCTCTGGTGCTGCAATTGTTCATGAGTGGCCGTAATCACTAACCATCAGGATAACCCTTTGAGTATTAATAGCCGCATGCTCGTTAGCCCCCTCTTCTTTTAAAAAGTGTGATACAATACGAAAAGCTTATCAGGAATTGCACGATTTGAAAAACATTCGAGACGCATTCGCATAATATCATTCGATTTATTTTCGATCAATTTATCAGATGAGTACCTATTACACAATTATTTCTTACATTTTCCTGCTTCAATCATATATTCATATAACGCTTCGATCAACAATGATCGAAGATATAACGTAATTTAAATGGTCACCGGGTAGTACACGTTTTAATGAAGGGCTCTTTTATTCAAAGTGTAATTTGACCTTTGGCTAGACAGCCTTTACTTGGATGGTTGGACAGTCCGAAGGTCAAGTGGTAGCTTGTGGCAAATGGGGTCAAGTTCTGTTGTCAACTCACGAAGCGTGGAAATAATTAAATTATTAAAACTAATTCAGAAGTATAAATTCATTGAATTGTTAAAATTTATACTTCTGACTCTCCATCATCAGCAAATAATCAATCTATTGTTGCCTATAGTCTTTACCAATTAGAATTAGTAGAATCAATCTTATCTTTTAGTGTTTTATCTGTTTGAATAATAAAATGGAAAGACTTCAAAAAAGTTAAAAATAAAAAAATAAAATAGTTTTAAAATAATTAAATTCAAAAGCTAAAACGCCTTCAAGAAAATAATTGCAAAAATTACATTCGCAAAATTGCTTCTTTCCATTTATGTTTTGGATTATGTCGTATTCTCAAATTCTAAATACTTTAAAGTTAACCCGAATTCTAACTGAACACACTTTCAATTAAGTAACAGCAGAAGGTAAAGCGTAGGAAGGTAAAGCTAAATTGGATTCTAAAAACCTC